TATATATATATATATGCTGACATCTGGACAAAGCGCTGTGTGTTACAACTGCATAGACATTAAGATGATGACAAAACATAAATAGATCTAACGGTATGTTAAATATAGATGAGCACAGACCATATCTGCCTTTTCTCTCCACTTAATGCTGTGCTGGTACATATATAAAAGCAACAATATGGCTGCCCCCTGCAGTGTTATGTCCCGGCAGATACCCTAAAGTACAACCGTTATATAAAGCAGTATAGCAGCACCAATGGTCAACTTGGGTATACAGTGGTATTGTAGTAGCCTGCAAATTTTCTGTATATCTTCTGAATATGGCAGATTTATTTGACAGGTTTCTTGAATGTGGAAGTTATAAGTTATGAGTTTACATGCATATAATTTAATCTAACAAGGCTTCAACACAAAATAGTCAGTACGGTGGGGCTGAACTTTTACAGGATTGTGTGCCTTACTCATCTTAAACCTGGCTATATGCACAGTCAGATTTTTGTATTTCATTTTATTTTGAGTGTTGATCTCTCATTGAAAGTAAAGGTGCCAACACCTATGTTGTGGTTTGGCCTAGCTAAACAACAATCCATACACATTGAAGTTTTCCAGCTACACACCTTTTTATAGTATGTAGTTGTTGGTACATTTTATTGATGCGGCAAAATGTGAAATGGAATCTGACAATGTGTCTGACATTAACACTGCTGCAGAATGCTTAGCTGTTACCAGATCCTTGGCAGAGAGACCTAGAGGGCTTGTTCACACTAATTGCCGTGCATTCCAGAGTGGTAGCTGCTGTAAAGTACCGCAGTCGCTCACAAAACTAACGCCACAACCAACCCCGCTCACCGCGCCTGCAGTGCAATCGGATGTGTGGCAAAACATTTGCCTGCGTTCCGTTCCTCTGCAGACGCAAAAAAATAGGGCAGACTCTATTTTTTGCATTTGCAGCTACCGCTGTGGAACGCACTGCCATTGGTGTGAACAAGCCCAGAACATATTTTCTGTTGGTAGTCAGCAAGGAGCTTGTAATGTGGTGAATGCAGAGCACTGGTATAGAATGTTCTTTAATGCTTCTGTTTTGCCAATTGCACTTTGTTTTTCAGCTAACCTTTTCTAAATAAATTTTGCTACAGACTTCACATGAGTCGCTTCTCTGTCCTTTCTTGCAGCTCTTTATTGTCTCTGGGATGGGCAAATAAGACTGTTTATTCCATATCATTTTAACACAGCTTCTGGTCTTTGGAACATTCTTCCTCTGCAATCCTCCTCCACTGTCCTTAATTGCACACTAATTAGAAGAACAAAATATTAATCCATTTCTCCAAACCCTGCCAAATACATTCCCAATGCATGGTGTGTTTGATTTTCCATAGAGTTTCCTTGGTATCACACTCATTTCTCTTCTGTTTTACATACATTTATTTTGTTCAGTTATGATTTATTTGACATCTCCATGCCTTAGAGTGTATTTTTATGTTTTTGTTTTTTTCTATTCTTCTTTTCTTTTCTCATTACCTCCTCACCAGGACCGTCTTTGTTTGCCTCTCCACATCCTTGAAGAGAACGGACTTGTGGAAGTGGCAGGAACCGTCCAGGCATTGTTGGACCTTGCTCCCCCTAAACACCTGTCCCCAACCAGTGTCTGAACTGCTCAGTAGCTCCCGGTTCCTCATTTTGTGCACTTCTGCTTCCCACTCATCACTCATGAGGAAACCTCTGGCTATCAACACACAAGCTTCATTATGTCCGCAGCAGATTTTAACTCAAGTTTAAGGATCAAAATTTGACACACACAAACACACATACCCACACTCTTATTTGTTATCACTGTTCTGAGCACTCTCCTGATACAGGTTGCATTTTGGTGTGCCCAGCCTACAGCTGTCCCAGAAATACAGGAATGGATTGAAGTGCAATATACTGTGTGCATCACAGACCACCAATGTTATGAGGAGTTACAGACTAAACCTTACAAGGAACAATTCTTCCTCCTCTCATTATTGGTGAAGTCCTTCATATTGCGCAACCAGGTATATAGAAGGCAGCAGTGTGCCTACAGTACCCTCTTCAGAATGGTTTATCTGAGTTGCGGAAAGCTCTTCGTCATTCTTCAATTCAGGGAATGATCAAGATAGACAACATTGTCACTTGATTTATGGGAGCAGTACTTCTGCTATTTAGGAAAACAGACTTATAACATATTACTGACACACATATAATGTTTAGTCTCAGAACCTTTTCAATTTTAGGTTTCCTTACAATGTTTGAAAATTATTTGTGGGGGGATTCACTGAGCTAGTGGCTGGTTTGTGGGTTGTTTTTATTTATAATTTTATTTATTTTTTTCTTATTTTAAGCTTTTGGATTTTCCATATCTGATCATGATAGCCATAAGACGAAGTTAAATTACTCAGCATTTTAGTACTAATGGAGCTTTTAGTTGTAGTTCACAGGTTGTCTATGAAGAGAAATAAGAATGTCAGGAGACATCTACTCTATCTCCATGTCCAAAAAACAAAACCAAGATGGCTTTCAAACTATAACAATTGCAGGAGCTGAGCATATACGGTTGAGCTTCTATGAACATTGTTACAGCATAGTAGGTCAACTCTTTTCAGCTGCTTACAGGCTATCATGAAGACACTTAGCCAGCACCCCTGTGATGCCTTTGAAAATGTATCAGAACCATATTTCACTACTAGGCAACCAAGAAAGGTTTATAGTGTGTTTAAACCCACAATGCAAAAATACTATCAAAGTGCAAATTGTACCCTCTTCAAGGTAATTAAAAATATTTCTCCAAGTCAAATTAAAAAAGTCTATCAATCTAAACTGCCCCACAGACGGCTATAAAGTGGGGAAGGTCATGAGCACAGCTGGTGTGTAGAGGATCTACTGGCGAGTTATAAACAATTTGCCTACCTTTTTGCTATTAGTTAAGGTACTTGAATGTGTTAAGATTTACCTCCTGAGTTTAGTGTCCCTTTTAATAAATGAGATTGGGTAGTGATGGAATGATTTGTTCTGAGATAAATGTTACTGACCGGTCAGTTTTGTAATCTAATCAATTCATTTGTTGGAGTTACAATGAAACCTTAACCAAAGTGCTACTTGGT